AAGAATGTGTTCCCATACACACACACCAGAGGGCTCCAACAGCCCCAGGATGCACCAGAGGAATTGGAAATCTCAGTGCCCTTTAGCATGGCTACTGTTATCCAGGGGAACATATTAATCATGCTCTCATAGACCTTCTATAGGCACTGTAGGTAAATGGTCAGAAATATGCATACAGTTTCAAACATCAGTCATGAATTCCAGAAACAGGCAGGGCCCAGGACTTACCTTCAATCATGTCTTCTTGTGGAGGTGGAGAACGCTCACCGGCACGCAGTGCTTCCATCTCACTCCGGTCTTGGTTCCAGGTGTTGCTCTCTTCCCTGGAAATGCAAACAAGTTCATTCCAGCATGAGAGCCACAAGCCACTACAATGGTACAAAGCCATTAGACTGTGGTAATTCAGGGGCATTAATGCAAGCAAAGAAATATACAACCTTGTCTTCAAAAGCTAAAATTAAATCTACAAGTACAAGCAAACATCTGAGAAACTGATACTATATCAGCATTTAAAAAGGCAAACCAGCTGTCGTGTGGAATCCTTACGAAGCTGTCTAACAAAGTGACATTCACTAAGCACTTTCACATTCTGTATTTAAAAGGTTGTGATCGTGCTCTAAATGCAACACTTATGGTCAAATAAAAGACTGTTCAAGTCTGCATTAGTGGTACTCATGTCTCAGAGGGGAGTTAGAGAGCATGTGCTGGTGTTTCTCTCTCTCTCTGAGGGCCTTCTTAAAATAAACCCATTTCAAAACTGCACTGAACTGCACAGTAAAATCCCCGTGGGGGAGCTAAGGCCAATCCCGGCAAGCAGTCCACCACTGGGCACACAGCACACACGCACACACTCACACCAGGGCCAATTTTCCAAGAAGCTAATTAATCTACCAGTACGTCTTCTACTGTGAGAGGAAACCCGAGCACCCAGAGGAAAGGAAACCCACACAAACAAGTGGAGAATATACAAACTCCACGCAGACAGCACCCCAGGGCCCCAACGCTGCCAGGCAGCAATGCTAGCCATTGCGCCACCCAAGAATAACTGACAAATGTCAAAAATAAAATCAATGCAATTTAGTGCAGAGCATGGAATCCAGATCGCCTGCAGCAAAAGGACCGATCAGGAAGAAAGGCGTCAGCACGGTGCAAAGTCCACGTATGAGCAAGCACACAGGTGTAACTGCAGCGCTCTGCCTCTGCACTCAAACCAATGCAGCTGCAGAGCGATGCAACCCAGGCTGTGCCTGTACCTGGGCTGCAGTGTGGCTGGGGTGGGCACCACCTCAGGGGTGAGCGGCACAGCATCCAGGGTCTGGGAGGCACACAGCATGTCGTTCACGCTGTGTCCCGGGACCGCGGCCGCCCTCTGCCCCTCAGGGGCGCCGAGCTCCGACTGCTCCGGCGCCGAGTCCGTCTCCATGCTGCTGGCCTCGGTGCCGGGCTGGGACAGGGCCGAGCTGTACATGGACTCCCCCAGCGGCCGGCTAGTGTCGAAGCAGTCCGGCAGGATGATGATGTAATCCTCAGAGGAGGCAGAGGAGCCCTGGCTCTGCACCTCGTCCTGATCGTCCTGGGCCATCTCCTCATCCCCCTCTCGCTCCGAGCCGGAGCCAGCGTGGACGCTCTCGATATCCGACTCCTCGCACTCCTCTGGAGGCAGCGGAGAAACACAGTCACCGACTCCTTCAATGACATCTGCGTGGACCATGCTGTGGGTCACTAATATTCCATCAGAGGAGCAGAAAGATAACTTCTCTTTAAAGATACATCTCTTACAGAATTAAATACCAGCTATAAACTCTGAAATAATAACTTTTATTAATAAAGGGCCTTTCCAAACCAAGGATGCTGTGCATAGTGATTAAGAATAAAAAAGTACCAAAAAAAAAGAAAAGGTGAAAAGAAAAAATGAAACAAGAACATACAGGATAGAATGTAGGGCAATCCAACATTTGCCCTAGTAAAAAGGTGAGCTTTGAGTTTAGATTTGAATAGAGGCAAAGACTTTGTCTCTCAAAGAGTCAGATGAAGAGCTTTCAATAGGAAAGGGACAGAAACGTGACAGAAAAGGGAGGGTCACCAAATGTCTGAGATTAAGTCCTGGGTACAGTGAGAAAAGGACCAGCCCCAGATGAAGGGAGCCTACAGGAGGCAGTGCAGACGTGAAGGAATTCTGAGTTAAATGATGGAGACAGATTATTTTAATCCTTAATAGTGGGTAACAAGGTCTTGTATTGAGTTCGTGATTTTTAGGTAATCCAGATAAAGACTTAAGTATAGGAGTGATATGCTTCCAAGGTCTGAAATGAGACAATAATTGCACAGGGAGCTGGGCTTTGCACACCTGGACGTCTGAGGCTTTCTTGTGCAGGCTGGACCTGCTCTCTGGCACACTTCCCTTCAGAGAACGCACTCAACAGCGGTCTCCTCTCACTGGGCTCATCTCCAGGACTTCCGCCACAAGAGACGATCTCCTGCCCCTGTAAGCAAGCTGCAAGAAAACGAGATGAGCCTGTTGACTGACAGATCGCCTGGAACAGGCTACTGTGACAATGACCCCAAAACACGGGGTCACAATGTAATCATGTAATGCATATGACACCATAAGAAACTGCCAATTGGGTTGTAACTTCTATTCCTAAGCACGTGTGATCAGATGGGTTAGGTGCTGAATTTACTTGTGAGGATAACGACACTTCCAATACCACATTACAAGAACATGTTTAATTGTATTTGATTGATGTAATCTAAAACCTTAAATAATTTGACAAGCAGATACAACTGATATAACAGTAATAGTGCTCTAGATAACAAGATGTTGTTATTTAGTGTTACAAGCATCCATCCATTTTCTAACCCAGCAAGCAACAGGCGCAAGGCAGGATGCACCCTTGACAGGACACCTGTGCATGGTGTGGCAGAGACACACACATGCACACACTCACTCACAACCGGACCAATACTCCCAGACGCCAATTAACCTACCAGTATGTCTCTCAACCATGGAAGGAAACCAGAGCACCTGGAGGAAAGCCATGTGAACATGGGGATAACATACAAACTCCATGCCGATAGCCCCCAGGGTCTGGAATTGAACCCAGGGCCACAGCAGCAATGCCAATCATTGTGCCACTGTAGTACCCTTTAATGTTACATATTGTTCAGAAAAAGATCCCTTGTACTATCCCACCTTCCAAGACAACACATTCCACTGTGATCATGCCTTGGAGCGAATCTACCTGTGGAACTCAATGAGGCAACAATGAGGATGACATGAAGCCTTTTCCCCCTCTCTGTACACAGCTCTTACTCCTCTGACTGTCGAGCTTGTTCCTCCTCGGGGGGGTGTGGTCGGGAGCCTCCTCCAGGGTCAGAGAGCGAATCACCGTCTCGCACACGAACTGCGTCCCACTGATGTCCTCTTCCCCCTCCTCCTGGGCCGGCCCGCTCCCCGCCTGTGGCTGCTCCCCCAGGGGCACTCCTGCAATCACAGGGCACCCAGCACAGTCAGGCACATGAGGTGAGGGCAAAGCTCGCGACACACTGAAAGACTCATTTATAGCACCTTTATTTTTTTTACAAAACATGCCCAAGATCTACAGAAATAAGGAGATTCCAAAATTCCAAAAGGCAACAGAGGCACTGCCTCAGTGGACCTGAGCAGATCAGCCTTCTTTTAGGCTAAACAGATTTTTTGTCTCATGTGGGATGTATACTTTATATAACAGAATGTCAAAACATCCATCCACATCAAAATTCTTATTTTATTTTTTTCCTGAGTGCGAACATCTATGTATCTGAACCACAATGTCCCAGTCCTGGAACTAGAGCCTGTTTTCTCAGTTAAAACTGAGGTCTTAACAGTATTATCTCTGTCTTCCTTATAAAGTACAATGGAGAAGGTCCATTAAACCATGAAGCAATATTAGTGAACAATATTAGTGAATCTTGTGGGAGAAACACCAAGTTCAGTTTCATGGCTTCACAATAAGGGAACAGGCGAGATGAGTACAGCACACAAAACTAACCCACAACAAAAGAGAGGTTATAGGTTAGACAAGCTCCTATAGCCCATCCAGCTTGCTCAGTGGCAGCTGAGTGATCCGAAGATCTCATCCAGACATCTCTGGAGAGAAGCCTGGGCAGCTTTCAGACAGGAACAACCCACTGTGGGGAAAAATGTGTTTCCTGGCCTTGGTTCTAATCACACTTTCCTTCCCCTCTGGCCCTCTAGTTCGGGTTTCAGTGCTGGCTTTGGAGAAGTCCATTGAGTTGACTTCATCAAGTTCAATTCAATGCCTTTAGCAGAACAAGAACAAGTCAGAACAAGACATACCGTGGTGCCCAAATCAGGGATGTCTCTGGCTGGGTCTAAGCTGGGACTGTTTTGCAATACGGTGATATCTTACTAGAGTGTTGCATAATTTACATAACAATTAGATTCACCAGGTATTCTTCCTATAGAAAGTTTTGCTTTTTACAAGATTACAAGATTCTTACAAGATTCTGGATTTCCTATTTCATATCAATTTTACATTCATGTTTTTGATACATGCAGTCATCTACAATTGTTTACTTTAAATGTTACTTGCCAGGTGCTTGCCCAGTCTTCAATTATGTATAACTCTTTTTGGAGTTTTTTTTTTAACATCTTGTACAGTTTTGGTTAATTCTGTAACAAACCCAGGACTATTACATGTTTTTGCTCTTTTCCTTAGTGCTGCTTTTCTGAACAGCTTCTCTGTCTCACCGGTCATATCACAGTAGCTGCCAGCTAAAACCAGTTTAAGATTGAGGTTTTGCACTATAATCAGGAACTGAGATGAGAAGAGAAACGCGTATGCAGCTGTGATGAAGCCTGTTGGCTCCACTTTCACACCTGCAAACAGCAATCAAACACATCAAGACACAGTCTCTCCACTGTGACATTAACCAACCCCATCATGGAGTAGGTATGGGGCCTAATTGATATTAATTTTCAAAGCAACAAATACCTCAAATAGATGAAACAAGCCAAAAAGTGGGCATGAAGAAATAAGTTATGTTGCTGACATCACCTTAATTTATTCTCTATTCCAATTGCTCTGCGCCACATGAGAGTGGACGTTTTACAGTCAGAGACAGACAGAGCATGCAGCGAAACCCTGCATGAGAAAAAGAAGTGAAGCAAAGACTTGATTTCCACTTGTAATGCGAACAAAGGGCCCGCACACCAGCCTGGTGCTTCAGTCCCCCTATGGGTGCTCTTTCGGCGAAGGGTGGGAAAGGGCCAGGCAGGGCCCCGCGGCGGAGGAGACCCCGTGGTGCAGCAGACAGGCTTACCAAGCAGCGGCTTCAGCGCGGAGCCCTCCGCCTCCTCCTCGATGAGGCCCAGGCCTGGCTTCTCCAGCAGGGGCCCGTCGCAGGGCAGGGGGGACATGCAGGGAGTCATGTCTGCGGCAGACACACACAATCTCACGACTCGCCAGCGGCTACGCACAACGCCTTCCAGCCGGGGGAAGGAAGCACACAACCGAATAAGACTCCGATGCCTTTCACTGACTTTCCCTCATCTCGTTGGATGAACTTCCACAAAGCACTGCTCTCTGAATGGCAACTCGGCACTGGCAGTGAATATTTCACTGGCCATCCCCTGCATGGATCTTCCCATAAAACTGGATGTGTGAAGACCAAAGAATACCTCATTATACTGAATTAACATTGAAAATAGCATATTAGTTATTCTGCTCGGTAAACACGTTTACTGTAGATGAT